CACACACACATATATATATATATATTGATGTCATAAAGGACTAAAACAATAAAAACCAAAAATAGGTGGACAAAGTGTAAAACAACAAATAAATGAAATAAGCATAATGTTGGACAAAAATGCAACCTAAAAAAATTACAGGCACTGAAATCAGAATAAACCCACAAACATGAGTTGGACTAAAATGAAACATGCAAAAACTTAGAGGCCAAATGTCTAAAACAACATAAATTAAAGAAAGTAACACTTGGGATTGGAATGAAATGCGTGTAAAATATGGAGACAAAATTAGAAACATGCAAACCTCTCTTTGAGGACTAAAGCTAATTAAAATAAAAATTGGAGAGGCCCATACATCGAATAACTCGTCCCCAGACACTAAAATGGGGATCTCTTACCCTAGATGAAACGACGTCGTTTTGACGCTTGAATACATATAACATTTTGGGCAAAAAAATCTAACCCTCGCCCATTTACCACCATTTTCTTCTCCTAACAATCTCTAATGCCCCTTTCGGTCGTTCTCTCTTTCACTCTCATCTCCCTTCCTTTTTTTTATTCTTTCACCCCTTTTTCACGAAATCAAATGACCACCATGGCCATTGCCGCATGCGAGCTCCGATGAGGGGCCGAACGGAGTCTAACGACTCTCTCTCATAAACCAAAGCTAAAACCACCATAGGAAACCCAAAGAATCGACCACCTTCGACTCCTAAATCACCCGACCAAGGCTAGGGAAACGAAGGGTTTACCTTCGACTCAACGGTGTCCGAATCCCAGGGGAAGACAACGATGCTTTTCGGACCAGAAATGTGAGATTCTTCTTCTTTGATGCCTCTCCCTTTTTTTTGATGACTTGGTCGGTCGGTCATACATAAGACTCTACTTTTTGTTCTTTTTTTATTGATTTCGATTGGTTATGTTGGCTCCCCAGAGAGAGATTCCCCATTTTATTTTTATGCTTGGTTTATCCTATCGGTTCCACTCAGTTTTTTGCTATCCTCCTCTTTTTTTGTTGTTACCTTGTATATTGCTCTCCGTTTTTCTCTAATATTTTGTTGTTGCATGTGAGGGAGGAGGACCATCGATATGCTCATCGCATGGATGATCTCGCGGCTAAGAGAAGGTTGATCGTCCTTTTGGAGTTTTATGGGTGTTCGTTATCTCTGCCTTCTGTCACTGTTGGGGAATGTGGTAGGGAGACAACGGGTACTGCTACAAGTGCTCAGGTACAACAGATGTTGGTTGAGGTATATGTGCGCGGCATCTTGAGAAGCAGCTGGAGCGTCGGGTGTGCTTCCCTCCTTCGAGGCCTGGTCAGTTGGTATCATCGGGTTGAAGATGGACTATTGGATTGTTGATTGGATCCAACGGTTCAGATATATTGACGTCGACTGATGCAATATTAGGGTAAAACCCTAGTTTTTTGTGTTCAATTTTGGTCGTTGATCCCATAATAGATCAAATGGTGGAGGCTCAGCGGCGTTGGGACTTGATGGAGGTTAGGGTTTCTGTAAACCCTTGCATCTTGAGCTTACTTTGGTTCGAGCTTTGACTGCCTTTTAGGTCACTTGTAATTGCTTTGGGCCTCTGTCACTGAGTCATTTAGCCTTGTAATTACTTTGGGCCTGTAATAAAATAAAGAAAAATATTTAATAAATATTATATATATATATATAACATGCATACATATCAACGCTAAGATACCTATAATACAATATACAACTACGTATCATGCTTAATATATAATTAATAATATGTAAACACACACACCTATATATACCTAAGTCAAAGCATAACCATATAAATATATATATACACACAAACATGCGCATAACTAGATATAATAGTTAACCCATATAATTAATATATAAATAACTAATTATAATCATAATATATATATATATATATATATATATATATATATAAACCCAAACGAAAATCGAATGAAACCCCCAAAAAATGAGCATTTACAACTGCCGTTGTTTGCTCATTTTCGTGCAACGAGAATAGAGCAAAGATCAAAGGATGTTCATATTTACCTGGTTATGAGGAATTCGAGATGTTAGTCCGTTCCACTATAACTTCAGGTAGGTCAGAATTGATATGCTCCATTTTTTGGGTAAATCATATCTGGAAATTTTGATTCACTTCACTGCTCTTCAAGGAAGGTTTAATCAAAGTCGATTTGCTTCATTGTTCTTCAGGAAGATCAAATCTGAAAGAAAGAAGATCTGTTACACTACTCTTTAGGCGAGATCAGACTCAAAATTTTTTTTATCCACTTCGCTACTCTTCAGGGAAGGTTAAATCGAACTTGATTTGTTTTGCTGCTCTTTAGGAAGACCAAATCTGAAAGAAGAATAACCTGTTACACTTTTTTCAGGTAATCAGATCTTGAAAAATTTTGATTCACTTCGCTGCTCTTCAGGGAAGACTGAAGCGAACTTGATTTGCTTCACTGTTCTTCAAGAAGACCAAATCTGAAAGAAGACGGGTCTGCTCCACTACTCTTTAGGGGAGATCAGACTCGAAATTTTTTTGAACCACTTCGCTGCTCTTCAGGGAAGATTGAATCAAACTTAATTTACTTCGCTGCTATTCAGGAAGACCAAATCTGAAAGAAGAAGAATCTGTTCCACTTTTTCTTAGGGAAAAACAAATATCTTAAGGAAATTTAATTCATTCCACCACAGTTTGGAAATAACTGAACCGAGATCGATTTGTTTCTCTTGTATTTGAGAAGATCGAACCTGTAGATTAAACATGACTACTTGTTAGTGTATGTTTGATGATTTGAAAACATCATACTCAAAGGTTTAAAATTTAAGAGAGACTTTGAAAATCAATTTCTCCTATGGAAACTTATCTGAATGCACCATATATAGGAATATGCCTTGACTCGAGTTTTATTTGAACTTCTCTCTTTTTGAGATTTTGAATTGGTTACTTTTATCTTGAGGTTTCAACGTTACCCACTTGTGGTTTTCTCTTGAAAGACCTATAGGAACTTAATTACAGCTATTATCATGAATTTATGAATGCCATGATTCTGTTTATGCTTAAAATGTGTGTAATAATGTAATTTTAGTGTATTTTATTTTTCGAATGAGAATCCTCTCTCGTTGGCCGTCTAGTGAATCAGTCCAATCTTGAGCACATAAATTATGACCAATTCACCCCAACTGACAATCTTGATCAAATACACCTTGGTTGGACATAATCCTTAATTTCTTCTTTCTTGAAACCAGACAATATTCATGACCAGCTATTTGATTAGTGATAAACGTCTTGGATTATCCCCAACTTGTTAAAACTTTCTATATACTCCAAGGTTTAGTTTTTTTCTATAGCCCATCATCATGCAAGCCTCACGCTAAAACCATTTTCAGCTTCATAACACATGTACTTTTCCAAAACATTTTTCATAATAATACACGATGATCTCATATTTTTTTCAAGTTAAACTACATGTTTTTAATTTCAAAGTAAGATGCTTGCAACATGGTATTAACAAGAAAAACCTCTTTTTATTTATATAACTTTAAAGAGTTTTTGGGTAAATAAATGACAAACTTTTAATTGGAAATAGTAAGAGAAAATAAAGTAGACATCTCCAAATATCAATAGTACGAATGCTTTTAAACTAGCATGCCGCAGAGTGTCTCAAGTGTAGCTTTTGTTAAAAGGGTCTCAAGAATTGTGATAATATGAAAGGGTGTGAAGTTCTCTCTAGACTACCCAATCTCCAAATATTGGATGCTATAAATTAGTATTGAATCTCATATGCATTCAATTTCTTTTTTGAATGTTTTAATCGGGACTTTTTCAATCTCCAGTCCTAACCATAATCATCATTGGATGTTACTGCTCAAATTAGGAACCCTTTCAACTTCAAAAATCAATTCAGAGCCTCTATCATGCATGAATCCTAAATTTGAATGATACTCAAGCAGTCCTTTACGGGTTTTCAACTTGAGACCTCATTTGGTTTCAAAATGCCCTTTATAGATTTTTATCTTGAACCCTTTTTTATTTATTTTTCTCTTTTTTTTCTTTTTTTTCATTCTTTTTTTCTTTAGGAAAATTATTTCTTGACAACATTGGAATTCACAGAGTTAGGTAACTCTGGTCTATCCATCTCAGTAAGGATCAAAACTTCTCCAGAAAAAAGCTTTCTTCACAATATAAGGTCCTTCCCAGTTTGGCATCCACTTTCATCAGAAATCTTTTTGAATGGGTAGGATCCTTCTAAGCACCAGATCTCCCTAGTGAAATTCTCGAGGATGAACTTTCTTATCATGTGCTCGTATCATACGCTTCTGGTATATTTGACCATGAAAAATAGCTTTCAATATCTTTTCCTCAATCATATTCAATTGGTCATATCTAGCTTGTACCCATTCTGCCTCATCTAGCTTTACCTCTGACAAAACTTGAAGTGAGGGAATTTCTACCTCAATGGGTAACACAACTTCCATCCCACAGGCTAAAGAAAACAGATTTGCCCAGTCAACGTTCGCATCAAAGTTTGATAAGCAAACATAGAAAATGATAACTTCTCATGCTAGTCTTTATATGACTCAATCATATTATCTACAACCCTCTTGATGTTCTTATTGGCTGCCTCTACTGCCCATTCATTTTCGGGCGGTAAATGGTAGAATTATGATACTTATCTTAAATATCTCAAAAACTGATTCTATCATCTTATTGTTTAGGTTCAAGGTATTGTCAGAGATAATTCTTTATAATAAACCATGACGACAAATGATTTCCTTCTTTAAGAACGTACAGACTGGCAACTGAGTGATATTTGCATAGTAAGCCGCTTCTACCCATTTATTGAAGTATTCTATTGTACCCGAGATGAAACAATGATCATTTGAAGCATTGGGTAAATTTTGCCCAATGACATCAATGCCCCACATAGAGAATGACCATGGAGCTGTCATCACGTGAAATAGATGAGCAGGGGTACATATCCTAACTCTATAAATCTAGATCTTGTGACATTTCCTGGTATAATTGATGCAACCAGTCTCCATTGTTGACCAATAATACCCAAATCTCATTATTTGTCTAGCCATTGCATGTCCATTGGCATTGGTACCATACACCCCCTCATGCACTTCCTCGATGATTGTTTTAGCTTCTTTGACATCAACACACCTTAGCAGAACCTGATCTGGACTTTTCTTGTAAACGATCTCACCATCAAGAACATACCCTGCAACCATCCTTCTAATAGTTCTTTTGTCATTCTCGGTTGCCTGCTCAGGATATCTTTGATATCTGATGTATTGCAAGATATCATAATAGCAGAGATTTCCATTATCATCCTCTTCGATGCTATAGAAATGGGTTGGATACCCATAAGCCTGAATCTCAAAGGGCATCATATTTGAGTGCTCATTTACTTTAAATGTTGCTGCTGAAGTAGCCAAGGCATCTGTCATTTGATTCTCATCTTTAGGGAGGTAATTGAATGTCACTTCTTCAAATTCTTTGATAAGTCTCATGACCAATTTACGATATTCCACCAGCTTGGGATATTTTGTTTCCCACTCACCTCTGAGTTGATAAATAACTAGAGTTGAATCCCAATATACTTTGAGTGTTTTTATTTTACGTTCAATGGCAGCTCTGAGACCCAAGACGCAATCTTCGTACTCAACCATGTTGTTAATGCAATCAAAATTCAGTCGAATGATGAAAGGATAATGTTCTCCATTCAGTAAGACCAAAATTGCCCCAATTTCGTGCCCTACGGCATTCGAAACACCATCAAAGTTCAACTTCCAATGTTCATTGGTAGATATAGTTTCTTCTTCTACTGAAATAGCTATCAAATCTTTATTTGGAAAATCAAAACTTTGGCTCATATTCTTCAGAAGCCCTATTTGTAATAAAATATGCTATGTCACTCCCTTTAACTGCTTTCTGGCTTACGTATTGAATGTCAAACTTAGACAACATAATCTGCCAATAAGCTAACCTTTCATATAAAGTAGGAACACCCATAAGATATTTCAAAGGGTCAAGTATGAATATAAACCAAGTGATATGATACAACATATACTGCCCGAGCCTTCGAGTAGCCCAAACCAAAGCGCAAAACAACTTTTTGATTGACGAGTAACTTGTATCGTAATTAGTGAACTTCTTGATGATATAGTAAATTACTCTCTCTTTTTTCTCCGTATGCTCATGTTGTCCTAATACACCCCATGTAGTTCTCAAAGACTAAAAAGTAGAGAATTAAGGGCTTGCCTAGGACAGGTGGTACTAGAACTGGAGTATTTGACAAATATTGCTTGACTGCTTTAAAAGCTTTCCGGAAATCATCACTACATACTCCTAAGTTATTCTTGAGGAGAAGGCGAAAAATAGGATCACATTTCTCGCTCAATTATGAGATAAACCGAGCGATGTAATTTAATCTCCCTAGGAATCCTCAAACATCTTTTTGTGTTTATGAGGGTGGAAAATTTGGAATAGATTTAACTTTATTAGGGTCTATTTAAATCCCTTTTTTACTCACTATAAACCCTAAAAACTTTCCAGATGATACCCCGAAGGTACACTTATTTGGGTTAAGTTTCAACTGTCATTTCTTTAACCTATGGAAGAGTTTCCAGAAATTTTCAACGTGTTCTTCCTCTATAATTACCTTGAAAATCATATCATCAACATAAAATTCTATTTATTTATACATCATGTCATGAAACAAATGTTACCATGGCTCTCTAGTACATTTCCCCTGCATTCTTCAACCCAAATGACATCACCTTGTAGCAAAATATGCCATACATAGTGATAAACGTAGGTTTTTCCATATCTTCAGGGTGCATCTTTATTTGATTGTAACTAGAGAATATATCCATAAACGAAAATAGGGAATTTCCAGTAGTATTATCCACCAGCTTGTCTATGTGTGGCAAAGGAAAATTATCCATCGGGCTCGCCCTATTGAGAACTCTGTAGTCAACGTACATACGAACTTTTCCATCCTTCTTTGGTATTGGGGCAATATTTGCCACCCATTCAGGATACTTGGCCACCTTAAGGATACTAAAATCGAATTGTTTCTTCACTTCTTTAATTTTTAATAGCATCTCGGGTCTCATCCTTCTAAGCTTTTGTCGTACAGGTCTACATTTTGGCTTTATCGGTAACTTGTGTACCACCAATTCTATGTCTGAACCCGATATGTCTTCATGTGACCAAACAAATACATCTTTATACTCTTGAAGCAGTTCAATCAAACTCTGTCGTCCCTTGATAGATAGGGTGGTGCCAATATTTACTTATTTTTTGTCTTCATCTGACCCCAGATTCAAAGTTTCTGTGGGTTCTTCATGAAGCAAAATATGCTTATCCTCCATTTTCGCCATTTTTAGCAGTTTAAAAGGCAAATCACATTCCTCGCCATTATCACAACCCTCGATTTCCCCTGACATATGGACAGCTTGAAATCAATCTCTGGGCCAGTGTCTTCAAATTCATGTTATTGATATCTGGGGTCTTGAAAGAATAAAGAACGAGAAGATATATACATATACACGTATAGGATAATCTATCCCATATCAAGATAAGTAGAATGAAATAATATATAAGTAATAAAGAATGAAGAAATGCATGGGATAATGTTTGCCACTTTGTGAATTAATAGAAATGCATCTTTTATTGAAAATTAAAAATAGATAGATTAACCCTTTACATAAGATCACCTATTGCCCTGGGTTTAGATAATAGGGAAAGTTTTTGTGTATTACTCTGAAACAGACTTGTAAACTATAGGTAACTCCTCTGCAGTCCAATTGTTTAACATGAAGCTTGGCGGTGCGGGATAGATTTTTATAGACATTCTTTCCTGAGCCTCATCATCTAGTATTAAATTAATGCCCTGATCTTTCAGTGCATCCTTGACAATGGGTTTCTTGACTTGCTGACTGCCCTAGAATATATGACCTCTAGACAAAAAGATATTATGTAGTAGTAGGAAAGTCATCGACTCCCAATTGAATTTCTCTCTAGTTAACCTCGCTCTTCTCCTCTCTTAGCTCTTTTAGATTCCCTTTAATTTTTTCCTCAAGGTTGGCTTATATCCCAAGATAAAGCGATCTCTTTTGGTGGTGCAAAAAATGAGATTGAAAAGTTCCTGCAGACGGCTCCCTAGCCCTTTTCTAGCCTTGGATCCCCTTCCTAGAGTTAGCTTGAGTTCCATTCGGGTACAGTTGGAGAGTCTAGGCTTGGGCATATTTTTTCCCTCATCCAAAAATGTCATATTGATGAACTCCAGGGATCTGAAAGAACACTCTATAGTTTTCTCATCTACTTCAACATAAGGGGAAATAGAAAAAACGGAAGCAATAATGTCTTCCTTAGCGTCAATGCATACCATCCTTCCCTCAATCACTAACTTTAGCTTTTGGTGCGGCGTAGATGAAACTACCCATTCCTGGTGAATCCAAGGTCTTTCTAGCAAACAATTGTAAGTAGGCATGATATCCATTACAAGGAACTCCACCTCATAAGTAGCTGGGCCAATAGTTAGAGGGATATCAATCTTCCCTAATATTTCTCTCTTCATTCCATCAAAGGCTCGAATAGAACTCTGGTAGTTCCTCATATGTGTACTATCGATGGGTAACTTATTTAGGTTTACCAATGGTATTACGTTTAGAGCAGAGCCATTGTCGACTAACACTCATGATAAAACATGTCTTGTATTTGATGGTGATATGTAGAGCTTTGTGGTTGCCAATCATCCAAGATGAGATCTTATCATTGAAAAAGAAAATAAAGTTGTCAAATTGGATTTTTGCAACCAACCTATCTAGCTTGTTCACAGGTAAATCCTTTGGTACGAAAGTTTAATTCAAGACTTTCAACAGAGTGTCTCGATGTGCCTTAGATCTTAATAAAAGAGAAAGTATCGAGATGCTAGCAGGTAGCTTATGCAATTATTCAACAATGATATATTTTTTGTGTTTCAAAATTTTCAAAAATTCCACAGCCTCGTTCTCGGTCATTGTTTTGTTGATTGTTGGCTCATCATCTTTTATTAGCAAGTCGACCTTCTTCCTTTGTCATTAGTAGATCTTTTCTCAGGTTCTTTGGGATATTGGGAGAGTAACATCTTCCACTCCTAGGGAAATGGCCACCTTTACCCACTTCTTAATTCTCTTTCTCTACCTCTTCCATCTTGCACTCGTATTTCCATGGGACTTGCTTATTGTCCTTGTAAGGGATTGGAGATGGGGGTGTTATTACCACCTTAGGAGTTACTTTTTCTACTACACGGGTTTTTGGTGTGATGACTAGAGGGCAATTAACATTGTAAACTCCCCTAGAAAAACCCTCAGATGCACACACTTCTGCCTCTTCTTCTTCAACGGTCTCTTTGTAAAATTCCATCTCTTTATCGTTCATCATTATTTGCACCAAAGCTCAGAATTCAGAAAACACTTGTATGGCGTGTCCATTTCAGTTGTGATATTGGCATACATTCTCATTCTTAACTCATCCAGCTGATATATTAGGGACTAAGAGGCATGCCTTGATCATTTGACATATCCAACACATTGGTGACTTTACGCCACTCATGTTGGTTATGACCTTCTTTCCCACTTCCTTAGTAATTGTATTGATTTATGTACCTGCATGGTTTGGCAGTGGGTTCTGGTCCAAGTTTGGTTGCTCACTATCACCAAAATTGATGACATTATTTTGCCTTAACCTTTGGACAATTTTCTTAAAGGCAGTGTAATTCTCTATTGAATGTCCAGGAACCTCTGCATGATACTCACATTGGACATTACTATCATACCACTTAGGGTAGGGAGGTTAAAAAAGTGACACATGATAAGGTGACACCATATATATGTCATACAATACATGGAACAACTCATTGTCGGACATAGGGATCAGATCAAATTGAGGCTTCTATTTCTCTTGCCTTGGCTCTCTTGCCCCCTGTCTAGCAGAATTTTGTGTAGATGACCCCATGGCCTGAGGTCAAGACACAATAATGTTATTGGAGTCATATTTCCTCACATTGTTAATCTCATTGTTCTTATTCCTCATTGGTTTTTTTATTAGACTCACCTCCATCGAGTCTCCCATTCTTTATTGCCATTTCAATAATTTTCCCAGTTGTAACTAAGTCAGCAAAACTCTTAGATGAATTACCTATGAGGTGGCTAGTGAAAGAAGCTATTAGAATTAAAAAGCATGTTTATCTATTCTTCTTCAAGCGGCGGATGGACTTGTACATCCATGTCTCTCCATCTATGAGCATATTGTTTGAAGCTCTCATTAGATCTTTTTTCCATACTTTGCAACATAATTCGATTGGGCCTAACATCATTCACATGCTTATATTGCTCAAGAAAATCTTTGGCCAAATCATTCCACGACTTGATATAAACCCTCCTCAATTGATTGTACCATTAAATAGTAAACTCTCCTAGAATCAATGGATCAATAGTTGGTCATTCTCTATGTAACCAGTCATTTTTTTGTAGAACATTGTGATGTGGGCAGAGGGACATCTTGTGCCATCAAACTTTTCAAAGTCAGAAACTTTGAATTTCAGAGGCAGCACAAAGTCAGAAACCATACTCAACTCCTTGGCATTGATTCCATACACACTAGTATCTTCCTTCTAGCCCTAATTTCCTCCTCCATCTATTTCCACTTCTCTTCTAGCTGTTTGTTTTGCTCCAACCTGGCTTCTTCATCAAAATTTGGGACTTGGTGATGCTGAAGTTCATCCTGGTGTGAGCTAGCTCCAGGATATAAGTTTATAGAGGCACCGATTGGATTAATGTGCACCTTACCTGTATGAATAGGCATTTGTTGGGGTATCTGGGATTGA